AGAGAGAGAGAGAGAGAGAGAGAGAGAGAGAGAGAGAGAGAGAGAGAGAGAGAGAGAGAGAGTTGGTTACTATCTGTTGTACTGAACCCAGACTTGGACAAGGTTTGGACTGAGACTATTGCAGAAGACTATTTGCGAGAGAGACTTCGGTTGATCGACAGATACATTGTGTTCTATTCTTCTTAGTCCTCCCGCTTCGTCTCTCTCCTCACACCATCCTTCGTCAGTTAGTTATCTCACCATGTGTGTGCAGCCAGGCAGCATTCTTCTATGTATGAGCTGCCTGGCTCGACTCAGTTGCATGATGTCTGTGTCATGTCTCATGTCTGGTGGGTCAGATCTGCATATTCTCAGTCTTCCGCTGCATCATTGTTGTTTTCTCACATTGATGATGTCATTGGGTTTGCGAATGCCTGTCTGAGATTCCGGGGCATGCGGCATTTGCCTTCTTGTTCGTCCTCTGCATTGAGTCCCTCATTTGACTTTATCTGCTGAGGATGATGACAGTTTGCCTGCCACGCGGATGGCTCTCTACTCTCATGCAGGCATATTTTCGATATCGCCATCTGAAGGGAGCATTGCTGGAGGGACTGAGCTGGTGATCCAAGGAGAAGGTTTTGTGCCTATGGACAACTCTGAATGGGCAAATGTTGTGTTCATTTCTGTCCCGGCAAGTTCTTCAAATCCTAATGGGGTGGTTCCCTGTAATGTTGAAAACGCAACTGATTCAAGGATTGTTTGCAGAACAGAACCCCATTGCTGGATGGCCTGGATGCCAACACTACCTTCAACAACTACTTGTAATTTTGCACCCACTTCGCCGTCACCAGTTTTTGTAACAACCTGTAAAAAGGGCCTTTCTTACTGGGAGAATCTGAGGTGCTGGGGTGCAGAGATCAATGTTGCCTATGCTGTCTGCATGGACCAAAACACACGGGTCAGGAATGAAAGTGTGTGCCTTTACTCCTATTCATCAGGTGCGTAACTGATCACGATCCCCAGTTCTCATTCGTTCAGCAGCTAATGGTGGTTGGAGATTCCTCTTTCCTTTCCGCAGTCTGTGGCCGGCCATTTGAAGCACTGGGGTCTGTGGAACCTGGCGTTTGACTTCCCAGCTTTTTTCCTCTTTTCTGAGTAACCCCCCTCCGTTTCTCTTTGTCTCCCTTTCCCTTAACCATTCACGAAATGGCTCTGTTTTTTCTTTCTCACTACCTTCCTGTTCCTGTCATGCACACCACTGTCCCCTCTCGTTCATCTACTCCCCCTGCCCTCAACAGTTTGTGCCCCTTCTATGTCATTCCTCCTGCTTCTCTGCCTCCCCTGCCCTCCTTGATCATGTCCCCTCTCCTCTCTTTAGCATCCTCCAATGCTCTTACTTTGAATTGCTCTAGGCAATGCCCCTGAACTGTACCTCCCTTCTTCCCCTTCATTCCTGTACTCCCCACAATTCTTCTTTGCAAATGTCTTTGGCGGACTCTCCATCACAGCCATTTTGTCCTGCTTTGTACTTTTGCGACACTTTCCTCTACGTCCACCACTAGTCCCTGTTCTCTCTGCTACTCACTCTGCTCCTTTTGTGCTTGGGTGTAGATGAATACATTCATTCTACCCCCCCTGCTCCTGCCCAATCTTAATTGTGTGTAGACCTCACCATGCAAGGAGTCCCGAAGTCGGTTCAACAGTCATCCTCATCTCTGGCTGATCATTTCAGTCAATCAACCACACTCATTGTGTACCATATACAATGTCCTTCAGTTGACTCCATTTCTATGAATTGATTGCATTGTCCCAGGGGGCCGCCAACAGAGGTAGTCGAGGAGTCGTCAGAAACATGGAGGTAGATAGATAAAAACCAGAGTCCAATCTTCGTGAAGCTGACACATGCATTGTGTTGACATTCCATGCACAGCTCGAACACCATTCATCATGAGTATGACTCCAAGTGTCGTCCAAGCAGGGAGTACCCTCTACATCAATGGCTCCAATCTGCAAAGCAACGCCTCGGTGTTTGTCAATGACAGGCCATGCCCTCGGAGCAACAACATACACCCTCTTCAGCCAGGCTCACTAGAATGCAAGGTGCCATATTTGGCTGTTGGTGTTCATAGAATTCGAGTCAGTGTTCCTGGGCTTGGAAATGCAGCCAGTGCAGGAGATCTCTTAGGGTTTGTCTTGTACACTGGTTCTATATCGACAATGTCACCAACCGTTTCATCCCTTGCTGGTGGGCTAACCGTCACAGTAACTGGTTCGGGGTTCAATGACACACATTTGCAACAAAATCAAGTGCAGTTTGGGAGTTTTGACTGCAAGGTTAGATCTGCCCAGAAGCAAGGCAGCATGACAGTTTTGGATAACGGCCAATCGAATTCCCAGGATGGGGAAGCTCCTGCAAATGCCCCAGCCATAGGGGCTCTGGAAGTGTTCCCATCTGAGGAGGTTCCATATAGTGTACCCACAGGAAATGCTTCAGAAATGCTGGGGCAAGGAGAGGAATTGCTGACGTGTCAGGTCGATTATCCGAAGGGCCTTATTGGAAAGTACTACGTCATGGAGAACTTGAACAATCTTCCAAACTTTGAGGGTCTTGTGCCATCTGCTACTCGTTTAGAGCCCAATATCACTTTTGACGACAACTCTTTCAGAAACTTGAGAAGTTTGATCAATGATGCCTCATTTGCTGCAGAATTCATGGGTTACATCTTCATGCAGCTGGCAGGCACCTACCAGGTATTCTGCCCAATTCCCTCTGATCATGCCATGCCAATTTCCTGATCACAAGAAAAAGTGCATGTTCTACTTTGTTTTGGGATTCTTGTTACAAATTACCACACTTGAACTTCAATGGATTGGAGCATAAATGAAACACAATCCCTAGGGAGGAACAGTTCAATTCGACAGTGCATGCCAGCATGTCTAAACTGAGGAGATTTTCCTAAGCACATGCCATGCCAGGGCACAAAGACTGGACCTTCCCTTCCATGTTCCAATTCGTTTTTTAAAGTTTTTCTGCAAAACATGCTTTTGAGGCTCCAATCAGCTACATGATGTGTGATTGTTTTCAAGAATGCATGGCGTTCTCTAGTCTACGTGAATGCATCTCGTTGGTACTTACTTTGTGCAATGAATCCACACCATTCAACTCCGGAATTCAACATGCAAACACAGACAGTTCACCCGAGAGTTTACACAAGGTCATGAGTAGGCAAAACGCTTCCATGAGATGAGAAGTATTCAATCAATTATTATATTGTACAACGACAAAGTTCGAGGTCCAGCGTCTAGGGCCACACTCAACATCCACCCAATCGTATCACCCGGTAACTTCCCCCGACTCAATCTCCATACTCTCTCTCTCTCTCTCTCTCTCTCTCTCTCTCTCTCTCTCTCTCTCTCTCTCTCTCTCTCTCTCTCTCTCTCTCTCTCTCTCTCTCTCNTCTCTCTCTCTCTCTCTCTCTCTCTCTCTCTCTCTCTCTCTCTCTCTCTCTCTCTCTCTCTCTCTCTCTCTCTCTCTCTCTCTCTCTCGTCTTTTATCGCTCAGGCCTCACACACTCGCCCAGACCTTGCACCGCTTGCCTCCCCTTGCCTACTGCTCCCTGAATACACCGGCCTCCTACCCTACTTCTACTGCGGCTATGGCTGCCTTCTTCCTCCTCCATATACCTAAGCTATGGGTCGTCAACCTCCTCCTTCGTCAGCAGTGACCTCCTTGCTCAAGTCGCAAATATGGGTCGTCAACCTCCTCCTTCGTCAGCAGTGACCTCCTTGCTCAAGTCGCAAATATGGGTTGTCAACCTCCTCCTTCGTCAGCAGTGGCCTCCTTGCTCAAGTCGCAAATAGTCCCACAAGGGTCAAGCTGAGCTTCCGCAATCCTACGAATTGCAAGTGAAGTGGGAAGTTACTGTAACACCTATGAATAGGAGCATGGTTTGATTTGCCTCCTTCGAACTGGTAGAAGTCCCCCCCGACCTGTTGGCTGCAGTTGTCGTTCCGGAATTCACCAGACCTTCCTGGGATGCTGATGCAAAATTTGGACTTTGGGACCGTGGACTTTTCTTGTTGGTGCAAAATTGGACTTTGGGACCGTGGACTTTTCTTGTTGGGTACTTGTCGGACCCGTACCGACCTACGACACTTCAGTACCGGACCCTACCAGACTGCGACGCTTTGCCTTCCAGACCTACCAGGACCTATGGGGCTTGGACCAACTGGGACCAGTCTAGGTGGGACTCTGGGATCAGGACACGGGACATGGATACAGTGTGAAGTTTTTTGACTCCCGCCGGCCTAATTTCGACGTCCTTCGAGAAAATCCAAACCTTTACCGGTCTATAGTGTTAATCCTCCATCTAGGTCTCTCATAATACGATAATGTCGGGGGTGGTTTCCCTTAGCTCATCCCTCATGTACCAGCGGTCATCTTCTAGTTCCTTGTACTGGAGCCAGATTGTGTACTTCCTTAGCTTTGATGATTATTTGCCTGTTCTACCATCTGATGCTGGGCCTTTCTAATGTTTTTCGCAACTCTCTGTCGGTCTTTCCCGTACCGCAGTGCAAATTCCCTAGTGCCTGGGGGTAGTCTCTGAAACCGATCGGGATTCAGGTAGCCTTTGACCTTCTAGGGCGCCATCCATTGTGCAGTTCATTTGGTGTTCGTGAAGTGGTGAGGTGTACCAAGTTATTGTACACGCTGGCAAGTGCTCATCCCAGTCAATCTGATCTGGTCTAATGTATATGCACAACGCTTGTTGCAACAACTCATTCATATGTTTTGTCTGCCCGTTTGTTTCCGGAAGTCTAAAGGGAGACATGGTCAACCTAGACCCATACACTTTCATCAGTTGCTCCAGTGTTCGTCGGTAAATCTAGTGCATGTATCACTTACAATGATTAATGGATGGTTATAATCCTTCACCCAATGGTTGAAGAACTCTCGAATTGCTAAATATGTCCTCGCTTCGCGTGGCAGCAGAATGAAAACAACAAATTTACTAAATCTATCTAAGATTAACATTACTTGACTGTTTCCATTTTTGCTCTTGACTTCTAAGCCATGAAGTCGATGGAAACTGAATCCCTGGGACTTGACGATATGAGCAACGGCTTAGCATTCCTAGTGGGGGGAGAGCTGCGTGGAACTTTTGTTGTGCTAACAGACTTTGCAGCCCTAAATGTACAGAATGCAGTCATGTTTTATGCCTACCCAGGCTTATGATCTAGGCAGATTAGCATCAATTTTCCTCCAACTGAAATGTCCTTTGTGGTCACGACACTCACCTAGGATCAGACTGCAAACCTCTTCGCTATTCGGAATGCACAACCGGCCGTCTGCATCAGTTTTCTCAAATAATAGGTCGTCGATCATCCTATATTCGGGGATGTGGGGCTTCCTTCACCTTGAGGATGATCTCCCATAGGTGAGGATCATCCGGGTATGGAGCTTTGATCTTTTGCTGCAGCTTGCTTCCCACATCGAGGTAAGTTTCTATAGCCCCAAAGAAATCAGCCCTCCTACTCAAGCGACCATAAATTACTTCCATTTGACTGGCTTTAGTTCAAAGTCAAACTCGTCGATCTTTGTGGCCCATCTAGCTAGCTTCGTTGGCATGTGGGCCTTTGTCTTCAGCCAGCAAAGTGTCTCATGATCTGAGCACACTTTGAAGTGCCTTTCCAACACATAGTGTGACGAATGATGTAGGGTTTCCCTTAGTGCAAACAATTCTCTCTCATAGGTTGGTGCAACGGCTTTTTTCACTAGGCAGCTTAGACATAATAAATTCAACGGGCTTATAACCGTCACCATCGTTCTGTTGCAATGCCATACTGACTAGCATCCATAGTCACTATGAATGTCAAGGACGGATCCGCTATCTTCAGGACAGGGTACTTGATTAGACACTTTTTCAACTTTTCAAAAGCGGAGGTGCAGTCTTTATCTCATTGCATAATTGCTGCTTTTTCAATAATCTATGTAGCGGGGCAACGATAGAAGTAAAATTCCGAACGAACTTGCGACAGTAATTGGCCAATCCAAGGAACAATCGCAACTCTGTCAGCGTATGCAGCGTCGACCAATGTTGGATTGCTGCAATCTTAGCATCATTTGGCCTAACTCCGTCCCCATTTACCACGTCCTAAATACAAGACATGGCGCTTGGCCCACTCGCACTTCTGCAGGTTTAGTCTAAACTTTGCCTCTCGAAGTTTGTTCAACACTAACCTCAAGTGTCCTAGTGTTTGTCAAGAGTCTTGCTAAATATCAAAAATTCAAAATATCATCTACATAAACTACAACAAACTAATCTAACCATTCCCTGAGGAGATCATTCATACACCTTTGGAGAGTTGCAGGGGTGTTAGTCAATCCAAACGGCATGACCATGAACTCATAGTGGTCGTATTGTGTCCAAAATGACGTCTTGCGCTAATCCTCGGGCTGTACCTCTATCTGGTGGTATCCCGACTTCCGATCTATCTTAGAAACATACTTGGTGGGACCTACTGTTGACTCAATGCGCCTACTCACGTCCTATTACCTCTACATCAGCTAATATTAGTTGCCCATTGCTTTCTTTTTATTTCGGTCCAGGCTTGGGGGCAAGCGATCAATACGCCTGCAAGGGAACCACCTAGAGAGACCCTAGCACAAGCGGTATACGGGCAGCTATCTAGGTGGGGGCCTGCATCAGTCTCTGTCGTTGGGGCCTGCAGACAGGAGGGTGTCATCTCAACGTGCACTCTACCTGCCTATGAAAGTCTGCAGCCCCAGCGGGAGCAGCTGCCACTCCTAGTGGTCATTCCCTTTTGCTGGTTGATGCAGCTCAGGGAAAAAGGGAATGATGCGACCCAGGTCCCCAGACTTAAAACATACGCCCTCCTCCCTTTTCTTCCTCCATACGGACTCAGGCATCTTCATATCATTCCAGGTTTCTCCTTCTTTCCTCCCTAGATTTGGTGGGTATCTACATGGACCACGATAACCAACATCTCGAGCATTGGCGAGAACAAAGTTCCCAGCCGTTCCTCCTTGAGGGAAGGATCCGCCTCTGCCCCTTTGTGGAGAACTGTAACCCGCTTCTTCCAATCCCCTCGGCAGCAGGGCCTCTTCCTCCCCTGGCCCCACCCGGCCTCCTCTACCTTGGCCACCACCATTCTCTCCCCCGCGAGCAACGACAGCTGCATAATCCCCTCCCCGGACGACAATCGGCCATCCTTTTCCGCTAACCCATAGTCGATCTGGTAATGGCGGAGCTCCTCTACTCCCCCTTCCTCAAAGGTCACTAACAAGCTATCTTTACCCTGAATGTTCTCGGAGATGGTCTCACCCATCCATTTCTTACCTCTCTCCGGGTCCCTATAGAAGTGGTAATTAGCCTGCTGCAGGAATCCTACTTGTTCCAGTGCATACTTACTAAAGGACTCGCAAGTCTGACAGGGTTCCTAGGACTTAAGAGTAGAGTTGGGATCTGAGGGGGTCAGGCAGGGCTAGTGCAAAGTGGTTCAGATTTTGCTAGGGGGCGACTCTGTGGTCCTTGATGTGGAATAGCTTGTCCATGGTGTCCTTCAACGCTGCCACATTCTTCCATCGGCGCCGCTCTATGTTTAGAATCAGGTACTCGGTCCGTCTTGCCTGGTTCCTCTCTTCGAACCGGTCAAACAAAACTTGCAAGAATTCCTCAAGGCTGGCTACATTCGGGTACTGGACATGTGGTATGTTCCTACCACAACGG